GGTGGGGGGTGGGCACAAGGGCTGAAGGGAGTCATATATATGATGATGGACAAACAAAAATGTACAACCCAAAATTTCACAATGTTACAAACTATTAAAACATCAATAAAAAAACAATATTGTCTAAGTCAACAGTATTGATACTGTCTTGTGGGCATTTATAACATATGTATAAGTAAAATACGTGACAATAATAGTATAAAGGGCAGGAGCGATCTATATGAGTTTAAATTGTTGAAAGGCTCTTACGTTGTTCAGGAAGTGGTACAAGTACTAATTTGAAATGGACTAATAATCAAGGATAAAATTTTATCTCCAGAGTAAACAAAAGAATGTATGACTAAAAAATTTACAGTGGAAATTATATAAAATTAATTAAAATCTTTATTAGTGCAAAAAAAAAGACATGAAAGAAGGAAGATAAGAGATAGGATGAATAGAAAAAAAATAACAAAATGAGACTTAACCTCAACTATATTTTGAAAAGTAAATGTAGATGAATTAAACATATCAATTAAAACATAAAAATTTCAGACATGAATAAAAATTAATGTCAACTATATATTGTTCACACTTAAAATATAAGGACTCAGTTAGCTTGAAAGTAAACTGTAAAGAACGAGGTTTCTAGAGATAAAGAGGAAATGTTATAAAAATAAAAGTGTCAATTCAATAGGCAGACATAACATCCCCAAATTTGTATGAACCTAATAATATAGTTTCAAAATACATAAAGCAAAACTTGACAGAATTAAATGGAGAAATAGATAAATTCCAATCATATTTAGAGATAACTGATTTAAAGAACAGACCCAAACATTAATAAGATATAGAAGATTTGAACATGATTAGGGAAGCACACGCAGCAACTGCAGATTTAACATTTTTTCAAGTTCACATGGAACATTTACTAAAGTAGACCATACACTGTGCCACAAAACAAGAAATTTTATTGGGTAGAAAACATATAAAATATGTTCTCTAATAAATTAAACATTAAATCAATTAGAAAGTTACCTGGAAATTAAGCAACACACTTCTAAATAATCTGTTTGTCAAAGAAGAAATTACACGGGGCCGGCTCCGTGGCTTAGCGGTTAAGTGCGCGCGCTCTGATGCTGGCGGCCCGGGTTCGGATCCCAGGAGCGCCCCGAGGCACCACTTCTCCGTCCAACGCGAGGCCGAGTCCCACGTACAGCAACTAGAAGGATGTGAACCTATGACGTACAACTATCTACTGGGGCTTTGGGGGGAAAAAACTGAATAAATAAAATCTTTAAAAAAAAAAAAAAAGAAGAAATTACAATGGAAATTAGAAATATTTTTAACTAAATGAAAATGTAAATATAACATATTGAAACTTGTGATATATAGCTAAAGCAGTGCATAGAGAGAAATCTTGAAGAGGAAGGAATGACACTGTCAGATATCTGCACTTACTGTAAAGCTACAGTAATTAATAAAGTGTGATATTGATACAAGGATAGACAAATACGTCAATGTAATCCCTGGATTACGACGTTGGTTTAACATTTTTTAACACCACTGTAATTTTTCGCATTAACAAGGTGAAATAGAAAAAATATGTAACCCTCTCAATACATGAAGTGTTTGCTTAAAATTCAGCATCCGTGCATGATTTTAAAATTTTTAGCAAATTAGAATAGAAAGGAACTCCCTTAACTTCAGAAAGAGCATCTACAAAAATCCCTACACCAAGCATCATATTTAATGCAGACCCATTGAAAGCTTTCCAGTCTAAGTACATGATATATCTTTGCAATATGGTGAAAATGTAAATTATCCCCAAACTCATCTATAGATTCAGTACAACCCAAGTGAAAATGCTCAACCTCATTATTAATCAAGTAAATGAAAAATAAAACCACAGAGACACTGCTACGCAACCACTAGAATGGCCAAAAATGTAAAAACAGTCAATATCAAGTGCTTGTGAAGATTTGGAGCAAATGGAACTCTTATACATTGCTGACAAAAATGGAAAATGGTGCAGCCACTTTGGGAAACAGTGTGGTAGTAGCTACCAAAGCTGAACATATGCATACTCAGCAATTCCACTCCTAGATATGTGCCCAACAGAAATGCATATATATGTTCACAAAAAGACATGTACAGGAAGGTTCATAGCAGGACTATGTGTAACCATCAAAAATTAGCAACAAGTCGAATGTCCTTGATTGTGGTATATTCACACAATGGAATACGTTATAGCAAAAGGAATGAACAAACTATAGCGACACACAACAATGTAGATGAATCTCGCAACCACAATGTGGAGCAAAAGAGGCCAGAAACAAACGAATGTATACTGTATGGTTCCATTTACGTACGTCACAAACAGACAAAACTAAACTACATTCTTTAGGGAGGTGTACATAAGTGGTACAATTATGAAGAAAAGCAAAGAAATAATTATCATGAACATCAGAATGGGGGTTACTTTTAGTGGAGAGGGAGAGGATATAATATACAATGTTCTTAACTGGATGGTAGTTGCATTTTTGTCCAAAAGCATTTATGTTTTATGCACTTTATTGTGTAGTTTTAGTTCACAATTTTAACAGATTTTTTTTTAAAGTAAAGAAAAGAGGTCCCAGGACTGAACCCTGGGGCTCTCTTATATTTAGAATACGTTTATAGACCCACATCCAGTCAACAGGCAACAAATATTTTTTAAGCACCTACTATGTGCCAGGCACTTGTTCCAGCTGCTGGGAAAACAACAGTGGTCAAAACAGACAAAACCCCCTGCTTTCATGGAATTTACACTCTAGTGAAGCCTGGAGAGAATATGTCAAGGAGGATGGAGTGGTTAACTATGCAAAATGTTGCTTACATGTCGAGTAAGATAAGGACATAACAAAATTGACTATTGGATTTGATAAACCACTCACATGATTTGGACACCATCTAAATATGGATGATCTTCATCCAGACCTCTTTTGGGAACTCCCAACCTCTGTGTATTTGCCAATTTATTTCACATAGATGTCCTGTGTGTCCAAAACTATATACCCCAACCTACTCCTCCTCTGAGGTTCCCCATCTCAGTGAATTGCCTCACCATCCATCCATTTGCCCAAATCAGAATCCTGGAAGTTATCTTTAATCCCTCTCTCTCCCCTCCCTGCCCCATTACACTTCCAATTCATCATCACTTCTACTAAATGTATCTCAAATACAGCAAAGGCAATAATATGAGGCACTTCTACCCACCTGGTCCATGAGGATGTTGTTTTCCTCTGCTTTTTTCTCCAGGGCCCAGAGTGGAGGTGTCCCTCAATTCAAGAAGGTGGTTTTCCAGGAATTCACTGATGGCTCCTTTACTCAGCCCTTATACCGTGGAGAACTAAATGAACACTTGGGACTCTTGGGGCCATACATAAGAGCAGAAGTTGAAGACAATATCATGGTGAGTTGAGGACGATGGAATTACAAGCAAATTAATCCTATATATTTTCTTTGTTTCTGATTATAAAAATAATATATTCTCACTTTTGAAAAATTTTAAAGTATAGAAAATAAAGAAGTTGAAAAATAATCCCATAATTATTTTAGTGTATATCATTTTCCTATGTATTCTCTTTATGTATTCAAAATTATACAATGTATAATTCTACTTTTTTGACTAAATATCATGTCATAAACATTCCTTATGTCATTAAAAACACTTCCTAAGTATCTTTTTAAAAAAATGGCCTAATAGTCTATTATATGAATTTATGGTACACTTAACCATTTTACTTTGAACAACCTTTTAGATCGTTTATTTTTTCCCTATTTAAATAATGCTGTGATCACAACCCTTTTCCTCGACTAAAATTCCAGAAGTGCAATTTACATGAACGTTTTAAAACTTTCTCTAATGAATTATCTGTTAATGACCTTTGCACATTTGACATTTTTTGAGAGAGTGCTTTTCTTATTAATTTATATTACCTTATATATTGTAGATCATTGGTATATTAATGATCATTGACTATTTTAGTGAATAGTATCTTCCCAGTTTGTTGTCTCTTAATTTTATATATAGTGGTTTTTGAAATAAAACATGTTTGAATTTTAGATAGTAACCCATAAATCTTTCCTTTATGACATTTTCATAGCTTTAATGTTTATAAAAGTCCTTCCCTATACAGAGATTTTTTTCTTAAAATCACCTATACTTTCTTCAACTTTCTTTTACAGTTTAATTTCTTAACATTTAACTTTTTAATCCATCAGTAATTCCTGTAAACTAGAAGTTATTTTGGTGCATCATGTGAGCCAAACATCAAAGTAGTTTTATTTTTTTCCAAAAATATTCATTCATTGTCCCAATTGATTGTTTATATTAAGTACATAGAAGGATCTAAAATTATGGGATGGTGAGTGGATTTTTTTCTGGCTTGAATTTTATTTTACTTTCCATATGTCCTATGAAACATGTATAGTTTTTTTTAAATCTGAAAAGCAAGTGTTTTTTAAAGATCATATGCATTCATCCTGGAATTTGTCATGAAGAACCTTAAGTATCGTCTCCTGGGGTTATGGTCTCTTACAACTCCTGTGGTGATATTTTCCCTTTTACTTTGGAATTGCTTTTAAGTATTTAGGAATTTTCTCCTTTGCAACTTTGAGTTCATGCCTTAAAGGTTTTAGAATTCAAAGATTCCTCAGAGTTTCCTCTGTAGATCTTTAGGTTTGGGTTCTAACAACATCCATCCTCTGTACCACTTCCTCCGGGTATTAAAAACTTGGATAAAATCCCCCAGATAGGCATTACTATTAGAGATGTAAACCCTAAGGTCAGGACTTATAGGATCCTAAAACATGATACTTGCATTTTTGTTTTTGTTTTTTTTTGCTCTGCAGGTAACTTTCAAAAACCAGGCCTCTCGTCCCTACTCCTTCTATTCTAGCCTTATTTCTTATGAGGATGATCAGAGGCAAGGAGCAGAACCTAGAAAAAAGTTTGTCAAACCTAATGAAACTGAAGTTTACTTTTGGAAAGTGCAACATCATATGGCACCCACTAAAGATGAGTTCGATTGCAGAGCCTGGGCTTATTTTTCTGATGTTGACCTGGTAAGCAGGTCTGTGTTGTGCTGGCCACTTTCTGGTCTAAAAGAAAGGGTCTGTGTGTTATCTACTAATAATTTTTGGTATTTATTATAAGCATAATGGGAAGCTTTAAATAGGGGAGGTGCCATCATATTTGTGTTTTAGAAATATCGCTCTGGAATCTACTGAAGAGGATGAATTGTATTGTGGGAAGATGAGGAGTGGGTTGGAGTGGCATAAAAGTTGATGAGAAATCCATTCTGGTTGCTCATAGGATTGCTGTCTTCCCTCCCAGGACAAAGATGTGCACTCAGGCTTGGTTGGACCCCTTCTGATCTGCCGCGCTAACACGCTGAATCCTGCTCATGGGAGACAAGTGACAGTGCAGGAATTTGCTCTGTTTTTCACTATTTTTGATGAGACCAAGAGCTGGTACTTCACTGAAAACATGGAAAGGAACTGCAGGGCTCCCTGCAATCTCCAGGTGGAGGACCCCACTTTTAAAGAAAATTATCGCTTCCATGGTAATATATCCCACACCCCAATATTACTTACTGTGAAATCTGGCATGCACTATGACAAATGAGCCTTGAGCCTGAGGCTTGCACATTGTATGAGTTGAGACTATATATATATGGGAGTGGAGTCTTCATAGGAATAAATATTTTTGACTGGAGTGGAGGGAAAGAAACTTCTACCATGGATTTTAACAGCCTTCTCTCTGTTCTTCTCTAGCAATCAATGGCTATGTGATGGACACACTACCTGGCTTAGTAATGGCTCAGGATCAAAGAATTCGATGGTATCTGCTCAGCATGGGCAGCAATGAAAACATCCATTCTATTCATTTCAGTGGACATGTGTTCACTGTACGGAAAAAAGAGGAGTATAAAATGGCAGTCTACAACCTCTATCCGGGTATGAGCTAGTTCGTGCTCTTTCTTCTACCTGCTGTTCTTGTTGAGGACTAACTTTAAATGGTCTAGGCACTGGGGATATGGTCAGTGAACAAAGCAGACCAACTCCTTGCTTTTGGGTAACTTACTCTTTCAAGTAACTTTACCCTACAGAGAGATAATAAATAAATTAGCAAATGAACATGATAATCTCAGATACAGATAATGTGCTACAAAGGAAATAGAACAGAATAAATGAGTAATTAATGTCGCAGCACTTTCCTAGGAAAAAGGGACTTTTTTTCCATTGCAGGACATCAGTAGTTATCCAAAGAGTGATTTGTTTATGTATGTAACCAGTATATTGATTAAGCACTACTCACAATGTTGATCAAAACACAGCTTCATTTTAGTTCTCCAGCGTCCATTTAAAACAGGTTTAATAGTGGGAGTAGACTTCCTCTGTTTCTGCGTAAAAATTCTGATATGCTCGGTGACTTTTCTGCTCACTCTTAAGTAATAGAGTTAAAACTATATTACAAATAAAGATCAAGTCAGAAATTACAATGTCCTACTCCAAGATATTAATCAAAATTCTGAACTTGATTTAACTTCAGTCTCTCCTCCCCCAACTTGAGCCTGCACCAGGCTGGAAGGTCTGGAAAAGGGAGGTGTGGTTGAGTCCTCTGTCTCTCTGCCTTATGCTTATTGTGCTTCCCCCTAACCCCTTGCACACTCCCTGCACCTGGCAGATATTTCAAGCTGACTCTTTTCCTTGCAGGGTACTTCCAGGGGCTCTTCAGAGACTCCCTGTTGGGACTCTCTCTCATAAAATCTCCTTGACCTGGTTGGTTCCACCTTTATTCCAGGTGGTTCACTTGTGACCCATTCCTCAGCCTGTCAGCATTCACCTCCAGCTTCTTCCTGCTGGGGTTACTTTTTAGCCCTCAAGCCAGCCCTAGTAGACTAGATCCATGAGGACCTCACCCTGACTGGCTTCTCCCAGGCAGCTCATGTCTGGTTGGTGGGAAATACACCTTTGGCTCTGAAAAATCCTGAGAGTGCAGGCCAATCCTAATGCAGTAGCTTTCTCCAGTCTCCACCAGGAAAGCATTCTGTCACCCTGTCACTCCCATTTCCCAGGGTGGGGGGCTGTCAGAACTCAATCTCCAGTACCTCCAACGGTAAGCGTCACATAGCAAGCACTTTGGGTTTGAGGGGTCCAAGAGTGGTGGAAATAACTTAGGTTGATCTCTTTTGTTATTCTCATAAGCCAATTTATCTCATGCTCATTTTTTTTTTTTTAGTGAAAAGAGGTACTTTTTGTTACTTTTATTTTTCATAAGGTGTTTTTGAGACAGTGGAAATGCTACCACCCAAAGTTGGAATTTGGCGGATAGAATGCCTTATTGGCGAGCACCTACAAGCTGGGATGAGCACTCTTTTTCTGGTGTACAGCAAGAGTGAGTACCACTGTGGGCAGAGGCTTGCTGCCTACCCAGCCTACTTCTATACAGCTTTTCTCCTGCCTAGAATGGTTGCCTTTGTCAAGAAATAAATACAAGCTCACAGTCATTATCAAATCTAAAGTGAATGTTGCTGGTAGAAATTATCAGAATCCTCAGGGGAGGGCAGATATGGTTGAAGCTTTGAACTCTTTGAACCTGTAGCTCTAAATATTTAACAAACTGGTGCTAAAAATATCTCTTCATTTTCACAACTTTGTGAAGCTCCAAGATCTCCAAGAGGAAATTTTGAAACTTAACTTTGCTTCAATTATCAAATATAACTTATAAATATTGCTTGGAAGAGTTTGTGATTTAACCCTAAACAAGTAAGAGAACTACTGGTCTACTTATGTATGGATCCTTATGTTTCCTCTGCTGCAAAATGTGAATACTTCTAGCACCCATACGTTGGGGTGATTTAAATGAAACAATACAATAAAATATTTAGTACAGTTCTTGGCACATAGTAAACACTAAAAGATATGAGCATTTGTTGGCGTTCTCCCATTTTTATTGACTTGCATTTGTGAAGCTGAATTGTATGCGCTTCTAGCTATCGTGTTTTCCTTGTTTGATTTCAGAGTGTCAGACTCCACTGGGAATGGCTTCTGGACACATTAGAGATTTTCAGATTACAGCTTCAGGACAGTATGGTAAATACTATTATTTTCTCTCCAAGAACTGGGCTGATTATATCTTTTTTATTTCTATTGGAGAGATTCAGATAACCAATCCATCTCCATGCTTCTATTAATTATACTCCATAGTTGCCTCTCAAATCCATTTTCTCCATTTCCCACTGTGACCATCTTAGTTCACGCCACCATCACTTCTCACCTGGGCAATGCCACCACCTCCTTAAATGTCCTGCCTGCCTTCAATATTTCTCCCCTTGAGTCCATTCTCTTCACTGTAGCAGGAAGCTACACTTTTCTATGAGCAGTGATAGTAAAGCTTTAATAGGATCCATAGAGAGTTCTCAAATTTCAGTGCCCATAATTGAAGTCTTATATTGGCACAGAGCCATACTCATTCATTTATGCAGCTATGGCTGCTTTCACTCACAAAAGCAGTTAAGTAGTTGCAACAGAGACCAGATGATCTGCAAAGCTTAAATATTTTCTATCTGGCCCTTTAAAGAAAAGTTTGCCAACTCCTGTTTTAGAGGGAAAAAAAATTCCCTTTGAAAAAGAGGTTTGAGAGGTATATACTAAAATGGTAGTTTTCTCTGGGTGGAAGGATGATGTTTTTTGTTTCTTTTTATTTTTACTTATGTTTTAATTTTATTTTTGATTTTATAATATTTTGACAATGAACATACACATTTTATAGTAAAGAAATAATAATATCATTTGGTAGTGCTGGTAACACATTCCGGTATCAGTGAATTAGAGGTGCTAACAGTCAACAAAATTATTAAATTCTAGAAAATAAAATGGACAAGGACCAGCAAAACACTTAGGGAGTCATTGATACCACCATGCTTTATACCTTTGTCTTCTCCATAGCTAGGATTAACCTTTCTCAAGAGAGTAATTTTCTTCCCAAGTGTCTAGGACCAACCCAGCTGAATCTAATCTCTCTCCCCTTTCTTGGGCAAAGGACAGTGGGCCCCAAAGCTGGCCAGACTTCATTATTCTGGATCAATCAATGCCTGGAGCACCAAGGAGCCCTTTTCCTGGATCAAGGTTAGAAAATGCATCACATTCAATCATATCATGTATTCTTCTTGCAAGCTCAAAGCATTATGCATCTCCTTTATATGGAAGTCATTTTCATCAAACTCCAGGTAACAGACGAGGAAAGAACTGAAGAACAGAGTGGCTTTTTATTTGTGCAAAAACAGTCAGGAATGAAAGACTTGGCAATAGAATTGAGTACACTGATGTGTTCTATTCCTGTGCTTTTAAGCTTTCTACTGGGATTAGAACAGCTGAATACTTTTGATAACATTGAACTCACCACCTCCCAAGACCGTGTATTCTATTATTAGATGCCTCCAACTGCCTAGGTATCCTTGAGTCCTCCAATTCCCTCATTTTAACACAAAAACAAATGGCTCAATCCCCCATCCCACAAGCAGAGAAAATGTGGCTTCTTTGCTTTCTAAAGCTGAATCTGTCTTCTTCACAAATTCTACACCACTGGGGTAGTAGTAAACACCTACTGCAGTTGGTCTAATCTGGTAAACTAACTTGGAGCCAATAACCGAGATAGTGTCTTTAGGTTAATTCAATTTCCTCTTAATGACTCAGTCTTTCAGATTTTCTCAGTCCCCCATCTCCTCTAGAGTAGTGCTGTCCAGTAGAAATATAATGTGAACCACAAATGCCAACCACATGTGTAATTTTACACTTCCTAGTAGCCACATTAAAAAAGAAACATGTGAAATTCACTTCAATAACATACTTTATTTAATCCAACATATCCAAAAATATTATCATGTCAACATGTGATCAGTCAGGACTGTGACCTTTTCAAGGGAATACCTATTGGAACTTCCGAGTCCCTTCCATTGCCACATGAGAGCTGAGGGCAGCTGGGAAGTGCCAACTCAGTCTCTCTGCCTAACCACTAGGGTAAGTTCCTTCTAGAGCCCAAACAGGAAAATAGAGAAAACTTCTCTGCTTCCAGCTTTGCTCTCAACCTCTCTACATGCCTCCCACCTCTGCTACTCACAGCCTGGAGAGGGACTAATGCACACACGTTTTACCACCCACTCCCCCACCTCCATCCTCTTCTCATAATGCACCAGCTTCCTTCTTCCTCTTCTTAGTTGGCTGAGGACATTCTCCTACATATTTTCCTCCTTTGTAAGTTTGCATCTGATCTTCTATTTTTCCTGAGGTTAAAATAATAAATAGGGATCAGGGAAAGATAAACTGGCTTACCAGTAAGCAGATGCAAAGAGCGCACCTGTTAATGCCTCATCAGCTCATCTGTTTTTGTTTTGTAGGCACTGCCAATTATGACTCAATTTGAGCTGACTGTTCACTAATCCCTAAGTATTTTTGTTTGTTTATTTGTGGGGCTCCTAACCAAATGTTCTCACCTTGTATTTCTGTAGTTAGCACTTTCAACCTTACATGTATCCCAGTGTAGTGAGCATTTTAATCTATTTGGCTGCCCTGCATCTGTTCTATTTATTTTTTTTGTAATAGTGTTCTCATTTCCATTTGGGGAATTACATCTCCCTCACTGGATATAATCTGATGAGACTAGTAAATACAGTGCTTTTTCCATGCCTCACCAAAGAACCCTGAGTGACACACTCTGTTTTCGCTTATTAGATTTGGTCCATTGTTCCAGCTCGCCAAGCTTCTGTCTTCCAAAGTATTTCCTAGTATACCCAGTTTCATATAATTTACTGACTTGATAGTAAACTTTTTTATACTTTAGCAAAGTCATGATCAAAATATTGAAGTATACAGGGCTTCCTTACTATGTGCTTAAGACAAATCAAGCTATTAAATCCTTACCACAATCTTATGAGGTAGATGTTATTATCATCCTCGTTTCAGATAAGGAAGTTGAAGCACAGAAAAGTTAAATAACTTGCCCCAAGTCACACATCCAGTAAGTGGCTGAGCCAAAAATTCAAACCCTGATAGTTGTGCTGCAGAGCCCTAATTTGTAATGATTAGACTATACTGCTCCTAGATGCTCCCTTTAGGTTGATAACCATCTATTAACTACCACTGTTTGATTATGGTTATTGAACCAGTTACGAATCTACCTAATTGTATTATTATCCAATCTGTATTAAATCACCTTATGCTCAAGGTGTTTTTTGCCATCTGTCCTACCGAAGTCCAGATACACATTTTCTTGATCTGGTAACTTTATAAAATAAAATGGTTCCAAGGAGCCAGCAGGCAGGGAGTTAGAGTTGATAGGGTGCTGACAGGGAGGGCAGTTGGGGTAGGCTTCTATTCTGGTGAGAGGGCCTGAAGAGTGCACAACAGCCAGGCCACCAGGCATAAGAGCACTGGGCTGGCTTGAAGGGCATCAGGTGACCAAGGCCAGGCAATCAGCAGCAGGCAGTCAGCAGGCTCCATGGAGGTGTCTGGCCGCAATATTCGTATTTGTACATTGTGTGACTCATTACCACCTTGCTTACTTCCTTGTAGAAAGATGTGTCTTGCTGTCACACATACCTGGCTGGATACGTAGGTGAAAACATTGAATCTGTAATTGCCAAATTGCTCCAAGATTCCAATTATAATGTAGAAGAGACATAACAAGAAAATGAAGTAGATAAGATTGGCAGCTTGCCAAGACTTCATCAGTTACAGAATGTAGGTGGAAAAAGTGGCTGGCAAGGCTCTATTAAAACTGCTAGAAGGTACCATAGTCAGTCGTCCAAAAAAGACCTCTCCTATGCTACATGAAGAAACAGTACAAGTGAATTCAACAAAAGGCATGGTCTTTGTACCTGGTGCTTTCAGTTGTTTATGCCCCAATACCAAGAAGAAACGTGAAGTGTCTTCAGTTGGGAATAACATCTAATCTGGGAAAAGATAGTGCTGTAGCTTCTGAAGACCTTGCCACTCTCTCTCCTATTGCCTGCTTCATTTTTCTCCTGTACTCATCACTACTTGATGCTGTAAAGTAATAAAAACATATATGATAGATAGTCTGTTTCTCCAACTCAAATGTAAGCTCCCTGAGGGCAGGGCTTTGTATTTTCTTGTTCACTACTCTATTCCCAGTACCCAGAACAGTGCCTGGCACATACAAGTGCTAAAGATATAGTCTTTGAATGAATGAATGGATGGATGGAACTTACAGTCAACTGAACGAGACAGTCATTAAGCACAAGAGTCATGACAGTACAATTTGAGTGTCCCAGGCATCTGTGAGAAGTTAATTTTCATTTGCTTGTTAGGGTAGTAACTGATGCCAAAATTCCTGTGTAGATACCCCCTTGTAACGCTTGCATAGTCCATGCCCTCTTCTTTAAGAACCAACCGTTCCTTCCCACTCTGCCATTATTCACTCATTTATTCCAAACATTTGCTAAGCATCAGCATTATACTAGATGCCATATTAGGTGCTGGGGCTAGAGAGGAGAGAAAAGCACTGAACTCAGCACATTACATGTATTAACTCTTTAATCCTTCTGGTAACCCTTTGAGTTAAACCATTATTATCTCCACTTTACAGATAAAGAAACTGAGACACAGAGAGGTTAGGTGACTCAAACAGGTTCACTGCATAATGATCTCAGTCTAATAAGGAAGGCAGATAAGCAAAGAAACCTTTATAATATGGTACAACAGTTTGCTATAATAAAGTTATATACAAAGTGAAATGGAAGCATAGAAGAGGCAGTACTAAATTTGTCTGGGTGAGTCAGGAAAGGCTAACCAGGAGAAATAGTTTCTGAACTAACTCTTGAAGGAGGGGTATCAGTTTATCACTGATAGCGATGTGGGGCTGAGGGCTGGTCTGAGGAGAGGGGAGGAAACTGGCTTTGGCTAAGCTGAGGCTGAGGTGTGGGCAAAGCACTAGGTTATGTGGGTCCATATGTGCAGCACAAAGGATGTGTGTAGAGGAAATGGGGGCTCAATGATTTGGAAGTGGTCTGGTTTGCCAGAAAGTAGGCTGGGAACTCAAAAGGCACCTTTCCTTCTCGTTCCTATCATTTATCCCTCAGCTTCACACACATCCACATTTCAACATCGGTATCTGCTTTACCTACACATCCAACGTAATACTGGGAATATCTGTATCAATGTAGATTCTTCTTATGCCAATAATTTCAGAAGGTGGTACATACATTTAAAATAAAGTGTTGTTTTTAATTGGTAGGTGGATCTGTTGGCACCAATGATTATTCACAGCATCATGACCCAGGGTGCCCGTCAGAAGTTTTCCAGCCTCTACATTTCTCAGTTTATCATCATGTATAGTCTTGATGGAAAGAAGTGGCAGAGTTATCGAGGGAATTCCACTGGGACCTTAATGGTATGTAATGAGTCCTTTCAAGAGAATGCATGAATATTTTAAAGAGCTTTTGACAGATTTCAGATATGGGACAAACGTTCCTAGCTTCTACAAACTTAACTCCAAAAAAGAATTTTCCATTTATGGGCAATAGAAGTCATTATGGACATATGGACAAAAAAGTGGTAGCATCAAGGATCTCATAGAGAATAGAAATGAAGAGATGTTCTATTGACAGAAATATGTGACTCGGGACTGGGTGGATTGATAAGACTGTGAATTAGCTTATGGATATTCTAGGTTGGAGGTGATAGTAGGGTAATCATGTTGAATGGCCAGTAGGCAGTAGATTAAAGACTTGAGTTTAGTGGGTAAAATCATGAATGGAGGTGAAGATTTGCATCTTCCGCATAAAGGGATGGGTGAAACCTTGGGAAATGATGACTTCTCTAGGGGTGAGCCCAAGACCCTTCATTAAACAGGCTTAAAACCTTAGCACCATCATCTACTCTTCCCTCAATTTTTATGCCCCCTCATGAATTGATCCATAAATGCAGCCAATTCTTTCTTTTAATGCCTCTCACATCTCTTCTGTTTCTTTTATACTGTCGTTACTACAGCCTGAGGCCCCATCACCTCACACTTGACCTATTAGATTACATTCCTAACTAGTCTTCGCTTGTTTCTAGTGTCTTCTCTAATAAAAGCTGCACATCATTTTCGGGATAATCATCTTATCAGTCCCCTGCCTAAAACCTTTCAATGTCTCCCTCTTGTCTTCAGAATAGAGTTCAAAGTCCTCAAATGGCCTTGTGCAAGATAACTTCCGTTTTCCCCTTTAGATCCATTTTCCTGCTTCTCTACCCTGCTTCTTGTTCTGAGCCTGGCATGTGTGGAATACATCAACAGGCTACCTTATCCTCTAGCTTTTGGTTGGGTTTCACCAACAGGGAGCACTGGCAAGAGATCACAGGAAGGGAGGAGAGCAAGATCAGGATATTTATTTTCCTGGCTCCCTCCTTGTAGACAATTTGGCTGTATCTCTCCACTGAAGGTCACTGCTTCCCTCAAAGTGGCTTTCTCTACCTGTTCCAGTTACTATTGCTGAGTACCAAACCACCCCAATACTTAGTGTTGTAAAAACAACCATTTTGTTTTGTTTATGGATTCTGTGGGTCAGGACTTTGAACAGGGCACAGCAAGAATGGCCTGTCTCTGCTCCAAAATATCTGGGGCCTCAGCTGAGAAGATTTGACAGCTGGGAGCTAGAATCATCTGGAAGCATCTTCACTTGCATGTCTGGTGGTTGGTGCTGACTAACCTAGCTAGGACAGCATCTGGGACTGTTAAGACTGAAGTAATTTTGTATGGCCTTTCTGTGAGGCCTGGGCTTCTCACAGCATGACAGTCTAAAGGTAGTTGGACTTCTTACATGGCATCTTAGGGACTCTAAATATGAGTGTTCCAGCTAACAAGGTGGAGACTACATCACCTTTTCTGATCTGGTCTTTTAAGTTATGTAGCATCACTTTCAATACATTCTATTGGTTATAAGCAAGTCACACGTCCACCCAGATTCAAGGGGAAGGGACACAGACCCCACTTCACAATGGGAGGAATGTAAAGAATTTGTGGTCGTTTTTGTAAACCACTATAAGAATCTATCTAATTCTCTCCTTTAGGATTCTGCTCCCTCTTCTCATTCCTGCAGGCCTAGGGTGGTAATACCCTGCCTCTACCTTCCTAACTAGTACCTTCATTAAAGTTTCCTCAAATTATCCTAATTTGAGTGCTCCCTGTTTCTTGTTGGAACCCTGTCTCATACAGTCAATGATGCCAGAAGTAGCCCCAGGAAACAGACCCTCAAAATGGAATTCTAGAGTTATGTTGCTAATATATTCAAGGAACACAAGTATAATTTCCTTGCTTGGGTAGAAGATTGGATGTTAGGTAATCCATGACATCCATGTGGGCATGACAGTTTCTCAGATTATCACTAGTGATACTATGACATGAGTTACAGGTGGTGAGGAAGACACTGGGAGATTAAATTGACAGTGCTATTAAGTTGCCATGGCAACAACTGTAGTGTCACCTGATTGTAGAGTGACCTGTCTTCTTTTTATGGCCCTTCTTTTTGCTGCATACATAGGGAAAAAAGAAATTAAATGTATGAATATATACAAAGAAGAACAGCCATGAATACATATGGAGAATCGGGACACACCCAGGGAGCTCCGGAGTTTTCCATATCCTGTGGTTGTAGGGAGATACTTGGACCTAAGACCAAGTCTAGGGGCTGAGCATATGAATTGCAGAGTTGCAGTGACAATTAAATGGTCAGCCCCACCAGGTCTATCTATTATGCTAAGGTAAGGGCACTGGTGGAAAAGAGTAGAACTCTGAGACCTGGGATGGATACATGTAGGCAGACATGGATGAGGCTGAGAATTGCAAACCTCCAAATCCCCCTGAACCTCCTTTGCCTGAGGAGGCATCCTTTCCCCAATTTCTGAAGCAGTCATCCCTTCTCTTCTTAAGACTTTCAGTGACTATAGCTGGAATAGTTGCCTCACAAGCCGGTGGCTAGTCTCCTTAGGGCCCCTGTTTGGCCACTACAAAAGCTAGATGACTCATGGAAAAATGACAGATCATCACAAATTTAATCAGGTGGTGATGACCAAAAATTGCAATTCCAGATGTGGTATCTCCTCTGGAGTAAATTAACACAGTCTCAAGCACTTGATATGGAACTATTGACCTGGAAAATGCTTTTTCCTTCATTCCCATTGATAAGCAAACTCAGAATAGATTTGCATTTATGAGGTAGGAATAAGAGTATTAACTTTACTGTTCATGCCTCAGGGTGATGCCAGCTCCTTGTTCTTTGTCATAACATAGACCCAAGGGACTCCAAACCTCTTGACATCCTACAGAACACCAATAGGTCCATGACATTGATAATGTTATGCTGACAGGACTGGGTAAACAGGAAATAGCAATCACCCTAAATGCTTTTGTGATTAATATAGGTACAGACACACAAACACATACATATACATATATATATATGTATATTTGTTTATATATGTAAAACAAGCCTATCTTGTTCCTGACTTTAATTGGAATGGATCCCATATTTCACTGTTTAATGTTCACTGTTAGTTTCAAACAAATCCTTTTTATCACGTTTAAAAAGTTTCTTTCTACTCCTACTTTATTTAGAATGGCTGCAGAATTTCATCAAATACTTTTTTCAGCATCTTTGATATGATCACATTTCTTCTCTTTCCTATTGTCAAATTATACTTACATTCCATGGTGTGCTGGCAAATGTTTAACAACCGGCTCAGGGACAAAGTGGGGGCAGTTAAGAGGAAAGGCTTTGATTTGTAGCATTTGCTGATTTCCACAATGTAAAGACTCCCAACATACCTGATTTCAAGCTGATGATGTAGTGTCGTTGAATGCAGGGTTGGGAATAGATGTGCACAATGGGATCTCACAAGCCAGTACTGGTGAGCTCCAGCACAAAACCGTGCTCCATTCCTGGGAAAACCGCCCTCTGCCATAGTGTATTAATCATTTAAAACTTAGCTGGATCCAATTTGCTAACATTTTATTTAGAATTTTTCTATCTATACTAATCAATAAAATTGGTTTACCTTTCTTGGGGGCTCCATTTATCAGGTTTTGGCATGAGAGTTATACTAAACTTGAAAATAAAGTGGAAAAGCTTCCATCTTTTTCCATTAAACTATTACTCTAGAATACTTTAATTAATGTAGTAACCACATGTTTAATGAAAGTTAGATGGAAGAGTCACTTGAGCCTTGTGCCTTATTTAGTGGTAGACACTTGACTATCTTTTCCATTCCTTATCTGATTATTGGTATTCTCATTTTCTGTTACCTATAGTGAATTTCTGTAAATGTATACATTAGAGTTCTATCTCCCTTCCCACACCATATATCTATATCTACATACACGCATATATCTCTCTTTTTTCCCCTTTATCAAAGTTGGCAAGTGTTTGTTTTTTCTATTGGATTTTCAAAGAATCAACTCTTGATCTTAAAATCAAACATAGATTTGAAGCTGTTGTTTTCTAATTCATTAATTCCTGTTCAAAACTTTTAAAATTCTTTCATTTCCTTTTGGTTTATGTTTTTTCATTTCCTAGAATCTGGACTTGAATGACTAGTTCATTTATTTTCAATCTTTTGTGCTCAATGATAACGATAAAGTCGTTATTAACTACTCTGATGAGGCTCTTTCCTTTAACAAACAGTTATTGAGTAACTACTATATTGTAGGTTTTAGTAAAGCAGTGGGCAGGCTGGAGCCCATGGATTTGGACTACAACCTGCTTTTGTATGGACTGAGTTAAGCATGGTTTTCACATGTTTTAAGGTGCAAAAAAAAAAAAAAAACAAATACATAGGGGGCCAGCCGGCTGGTGTAGCAGCTTAGTTCGTGTGCTCTGCTTCTGCGGCCCAGGGTTCTCGGGTTTGGATCCTGGGCACAGACCGACGCACCGTTTGTCAAGCCATGCTGTGGCGGCATCCCATATAAAGTAGAGGAGGATGAGCACGGATGTTAGCCCAGGGCCAGTCTTCCTCAGCAAAAAAAGGATTGGGAACAGGTGTTAGCTCAGGGCTTATCTTCCTCACAAAAAACAAAAAAAAACAAAAAAAAAAAAACGAAGACTATGCGACAGAGACCATTTGTGGCCTGAAAAGGCTAAAATATTTCCATATGGTCCTTTACAGAAAAAGTTTGCAGACTGGCGGTCTAGTCTAACGGCAGAAGAGATGCCTAGACAGTTAACATTAACCAGAACCCTTCCATCCCAGAGCTTGCCTAATTTACAAATTTCAGTTTTAGTCATCTTCCTCCAGTGCAGTGGTTCTCAAATGTTTTTATACTTTGTACCACCATTCACATACAAAATATTTTTTCATAAGCAATATTTCTCATCATAGAAGTCCCTCATAAAGGAGGGAAAGGGGAACCCAAACACCCTTTAAGGATCACTTCTTCACTGTGACCATTTTCAATAGTTTATAATATTTTGATGTTAATTTTGAATTGTCAATGAACATTTCAATGATGTGGATCTTTCCCTCTGACTTTCAAATTAAAAAGAAGACTAATCATGTCCTTTATAAATATTTATCTTTGGTCATGTTAGAAATCAGTGTTAATTTTGATATTAAGTTGATATATAGCAAGAGACCTCTGTCAAATTGTTGAAATCTGGCCTTGGCCCAGCGATTCGTGCTAAGAAGTTTCTGAGGGATATACATAAACGAGCCAATGACAAATGGAAAATGACCTTTAGTGTTTCCTAAAATTACACTTGAATACCCATTAGCAGGCTCTCTGGCAATCCCTCCCCCCACCTCCTCAATGCAAGGAGTTTAGACCAGAGGCCTAAGGAGGTTTTTCCCTAAGCCCAAATCCAAATACTATCACCAGTCCCATGCCATACTTGGTAAGCATTCTTCTCACAAGACAGTAAGACAGCCGGCCAGGCCTGCAGCCCGGATTGAGAGGAGTGTACCAGAAAAAGCAAAAGCACAAGGGGGCATATGCCCTTCCCTCTTTTGCAATAATTTGGACTATGCTTTTAGGGCTCTGAAGGACCCTTCCTGGCGGCCACATGAGAGCACAGGAATGCTGGCTGACCCTGTCTCAAGCGGGCCTCTCCGAGTGTATGTATTTCCTTACCTATTGCTTCCACACTGTTGAAATAGGAGAAAAGAATACCCCAAAAGTCCCACCCATTTTGAGGCACTTAAGTCATACACAACCCTCCACACATCTCCCCCAAATGCAAAACAAAAATCTACCCCCAAACTGTGTCCTTAAATCTCACCCCAAGGGATTAGTATTCAATTTCAGCCTAAAGGATGCATCTTCCCAAAGCTGAATGATTGAGAACGAGATTATATTCTGAAGAGTTCTGGTTGTCACTCTCAAAACTGTAAAGAAAATTAAACCGAATTAAAAACAAACAAAAAAACCCAGCTAAGCCGGTTTGCATGTAACATTGGGCCCAAAAAGCCTTGGAAATTTAGTGTTTTAAAAATGGATCGCCATCCTGCTTTTGGGGAACAAGGACGCTGTCTTGCATATACCTGATCACACAGGACCACAGAACCAGGCTGATTTTACATACTTAAGTAAGAGTTGCAGAAAGTTCCCCACTACAAATAAAAGTTATGTGGATTACCCGTATCTCTCAGAATAGAACTGGAACTGTGAATTCCAATCTGACACTTGCGCTGGACTCGCCCCGGGTTGCGGGGTTACTGGAGACATTTGCATCGCAGCTATCTGAGTAAAGACCACATTGCAAGTGATCTCTGCAGATTCACTGCCTGGCATAACCCACATACCAGGCAGTGTCAATTCCAAACGAACCAATACATCTTGGAGCCGAAAGACAACTGTCTGTTTCTGCTTTCTGCCTCCCGACATGCAGATAAGCTACTGTCATTTCATAGATGAAGTAAATCTAAACCACAAGTTAGGAGTACTAGAACGGCTTTATCGTGGACTCATGGCTGTAGCAACAAAAACGACATATGGGATCGAATGATTCCCACGAAATGTACAGGGCGGATGAAACAAAGGAGAAAGAGAGTGATCACACAGATAGACATAGAAATACGCTAAGAAATCAGAGTCACGATAAAAAAAATCATATAGCTTAAGTATTTAGACAGCTGGGCAAAATAAAATCCTCACTCTGAAGCAAAGACGTGGGGAAGGGGGTAGGAGGCGCGAGAGTTGGGCGGGAGAAGAAGGGGATAAAAGGGATTGTTAGTTTATGTCGCAGTTTTTGGAAAGAGAGCCATGGCCTTTGCTCCGATTCCATCATATTGTATTTCCCCCCCATTACAGAAATAAGTCTTCGGGGTACAGGTAACTTTCAGTCAACTAAATTCCTATGGTGGCAAGAGGAACGAGATAAACAAAGGTAGAACCGCCGGGATCCGTGTCTTTTATTCCTCCCCCCCGCCAAATGCA